CTGTCATCTCACCGCCACAGGCACGACAGCAGCAGCAGGCGGCAGCTGCGGGCCGATCGTCAGCCCTCCCGCACCAGCCGCCCCCCCCGTCGCAAACAGCGGCGGTGGCACGGGGGTGACCGTCGCGTAGCCGACCCCAGGCCTTTTCTCGGGGGTCCTCATTGCCACATCCATCGCCAGCCCCCCGCCGCCCACATCCGCCCCAGTGGGTGATGAGTGGGGCGCCACGTGGCCGTCCGACCCATGCACGTCGACATCGCCCCCGTTGCCCACGTCGTCGACGGACACGGCCAGGACAAGCTGTGGCCCGCCCTCATTCAGCACCGCCGTCGAGGCATCCTGACGACGGACGGTGCGGCCGGAGGGAGCAGCAAGGCCGGGGAGTTCCATGCGAGGGGCCAGGGGAGGCGGTGGGGACTGCTCAATCTCGTGCAGAATGTCGGGCAACAAGGCCTGCAGGCTCTCCGTCATGAGGCCATCGGTCAGATGGCTGTCCATGTCCGCTGGAGCTGCCGCAGCCGCCGCCGCCGAGGAAGCCGCTGCTGCCGCCGCGGGAGCAGGCCCACCGCTGTCACCAGCACCACCACTGCTACCACCATTGAGGGTCAGTCTGGCCACCCCATCGACCTGTGCCGAGGCAGCTGCGATGGAGAGGGGGACGGGCTGGCCGATGTCTGGCTGCTGCGACTGCTGCGATTGGCTGGCCTTGGGCGCTTCCGGCGACTCCTCGACCTGCTGCGCCGGCCCCTCTGTGGGCTCTACCAAGCCGTTTGTCGCCATTTGCTCGCTCATGTGGCCAGGGAGAAGGGTTTTCAGGAAATCGTGGCACCCGTGGCCGGCAGAATGGGCACCGCTGATCGTCCCATCGCCTCAGACAGCACCACCCTGACGCCGCAAACGCCTTGACGCTCCCAAAAGACCGATAAGGGAGACTGGCTGATGAAGCGGGCCACACGCGGCTCCGACTCCTCCGCAGTGCGTGTGTTGGGCAGCAGGGAGGCCGCAGAAGGCCGTGTGGCGGTGGGTGACGGTCAGATCTCGGTCCTCAACAGGGGAAAGAAGATCGAGTGGCGCACTCGTGCGATGTGTGGTTCTACCGAGGAACTATCGCCCAACACCACTGAATGCGCACCAGAAACGCAGGAAGCGGAACGAGGAAACCTGCCTGTGTAAGCTCGCAAAGCTCGCGTCCTTCCGCTGCTGCCTGAAACCGCTGCCGCACTCCCACGAGACACATGAGCTGTTGGGGATCACGTTCCGGCAAGAAACGATGCAAGATCTGCACTGAGTGCATTCAAGGCTTGTGACAAGACGCCACGCGGTGCAGGTAAGGAAGAGAATAGAGCTGCGCCTCCATCCATCGCGGGGCTTGGTCGATTCGATGATCCTTCGAACTTGTGCAGTGCGATGCGTTTGTGTTTGCTTCTCTGTTTGTTTGCAGCTTCGCCTGTCTACCTGCGTTGTGTCTGTCTGCCTTGCCCTACATCGAATCGATGTGTTGAGGGTCAGTCAGTCAACGAATCATCATCCATCGCCCGGCAGGCAGGAGTGTTAACTATTGATTGCGTCCTGTCCGCTGCCTGACCACTTAATGCCATTATTATTATGTGGACGTGGATTCATGAGTACCAGCACCTCGGCCAACCTGTGGCCGACACCCCCTCCCTCTCTCCCTCTCCCCCTCCCTGTTCCTCCCCTGCCCGCATCCAGCTGTCGCAGGACATCCTTATTGAGCCCCAGTGCGACAAGCGGCTGGGCTACTTTGCCTTCAAGCGGTGCCAGTGGTACTCGCGCAACGCCCTCCGGCACTGGCGCAACGTGGTGCTCTCCCACGCGCTGACGGCCATGCAGGCGCCGCCCGAGCTCATGTGTGTGCACTGCGATAGGGATGCGCCACACAAGGCGGGATACTCACCCAAACACCATAAGGTGGTCTGGTGGGGATGGATGGATGGATGGTGCATGCATATAGCTAATGAGATGAGATGAGTGGGTTGGTTCATGTGTTATGTTGTGTTGTGTTGTGTTGTGTGTGGGGATGGGATTGACTGACAGATATGGATGTGCGCCAATAAGATATGGAACTTTGTGGAGTTCAGGAGGCTGCTCAGCCATGAAGTGAGTGAGTGAGCGGGTGGGTGGGGTGTGGCGCATGGGAGCCTGTCTGCCCCTGTCTGTCTGTCTGTCTGTCTGTGTGTGCAGTTGGTTCATGCGTTTGACTTTGCCCGCGCCAAGATCGACCCCGACAACTGTGACCACATCGCATGCACTGAGGTGACAAGACAAACACTCAACGGAGGACGGAGGGCTGGCAGCCATATGACAGACAGACAGACAATGGCTGGCCATTGCCATCCAGCCATTCCCTCCCGATGCTTGCATGCATCACATCAGGGTGCCTGGCTGCCTGCGTGTGTCGTTTGTTCACTGACTGATTCATGTTTCTTCTGCAGGTGCGTGCGTACAATTTGAGTCATCAGTGCAGTCGGATGGCGACGCTCCTCATCCCAAAGGAGAGCTTCAGATCCCTCGACATCGACCACCCTGTCGCCAACTCAAAGAAAGGGGTGAGACAGACATGCAGTGGGGTGGGCAGCTGAGCTCAGCTGCACCTGGGTGGCCGATATGCACTAATGGCCGGACATGTCATGTGCTCGTCTGTGTGTGATTGTGGTCAGCGGTGCCTTGCTCATCGCGTGTTGACGTCGCTCCAAGACAGCAAGCGATGCTCGGGTGGGCCCGTGGGCACACCCACAACACAACCAGCTCTGAATTGCATCCCATCACCCGCCCCTCTGTGTGTGTGTGTGTGTGTGCGTGTGTGTGTGTGTAGATGAGTCTGTAGCGCGGGAGTGCACGAGGCGAGTGTTTGAGCGGTGCTACAACGACCTGTGGCCCTTCGACATGCAGCCAGAGAGGGAGCAGAAGAGGCGGACTCTCCGCAGGATCATACAGCCACTGGAGATTACTACGTGATTATTTATTGGATGCCGACAGACAGACGAGAACTCACTAAGGAGCCTGCCTTTGTTGTGTGTGTATGTTGTGACTGACTGACATTGACTCTCAGGTGACATTGACGGACTCACTCACTCCAAAAGTCATACAGACAGACAGATCGATCCACCTATCCACCCACCCACCCTCCCTCCCATAAGCCCCACCCCACCCGCCATATGAACAGACGACATAT